GGGTCTTTTTCTCTGAATGGTTTTAAGAGTCTCTGAGTTATTTCCATATTGTAGACATTTATCTTTTGTTGGAAAAGGAGCTAGCAGTGAGTCTTCTGCTCTGTAGGTGGTCTCTTCAGGTGGTTGATTTTGCTGTGCAGAATATTTTTAATTTGAGGCAGTCCCATTTGTTTGGTTCTTGACATGATGTCCTGTGTCATCAGGTCCCATTCAGGGAGGCTTTTCATGTTTCTATGGCTTCAAGTATTTCTTCTGTATTTTCTCACAACAATTTCAAAGTTTTCAGATCTCTCTCTCTCTCTCTCTCTCTCTCTTTCTCTGTTTGTATGTAAACTTTGATCCTTTTGCTTTGATGACAGGGAAAGAGATAGGGATCTAATTTCAACCTTCTAGGCATCCAGTATTTCCACCACCATTTACCAGAGAGGCTGTCATTTTTTCATCATTTGGTTTTGGCCTCTCTCTCAAAATCAGATGGCTAAGGCTGCCTGCGTGTGTGCCTGTGATTTTTGCTCAGTACCACTGACATACACACCTGCTCTGACAATGTACAGCAGAGTTTTGTGTCTCTGGGTTTGCAGTGTAACTTGAGATCAGGTAGTGTGGTTTCTCCAGTATTGCTCATTTGGCTCAGGAAAGCTTGAGGTTTTCCTGGTTTTTTGTGCTTCCTTATGAATTTATGATTGTTTTTTCTAGTTCTGTGAAGAATTTTGTTGATATTGTCATAGGGCTCACATTGAATTACAGATCACTTTTGGAAATGTAGCCATTTTAATGATGTAATTTCTATCTATCCATGAATAAAAGAGGTATTTTCAAATTCCATTATCTTATTCAATTTCTTTCTGCAGTTTTGTTTTTAGGGTTTTTAATCTTTTCCTGTTAGGTCAATTCCTAAGTATTTCATTTTATATTTTGAAGCTGTTGTGGATAGCATAGCTTCTTTGATTTCTTCCTCAGCAGGATCGTTACTGGTGCAGAGGAAAGCTATTGATCATTTTGAGTTTGTAAACTGCAATTTTCCTACAATTTACTTTTATCAGCTCTCAAGGTCTTCTGCTGGAACTTTTAGTGTCTTCTATATAAAGGGTTCTGTGTTTGGTAAACAGGAATAATCTGTCTTCTTCCTTTCCTACATGCATCCCTTTTATTTCTCTTTTTCCTAATTATCCTGGTGAAAGTTTCCAGTACTAGTCTTACAGTAGTGTTGAGAGAGGACACCTCTGTCTCATTCCTGACATTAGAGGAACTGATTTTAGTCATTCCCTATGTTGTATGATGATGTTAGCTTTGCTCAATTTAAGTAGCAGTTCTTCCATCCCTTTTTTCTTAAGGTTATGTTTTTTTTCGTGAAGGGACATTAAATTTTGTGCAATCATTTTCTATGTCTATTAAAAAGATCATGTGGTTTTAGGTCCTTGCTTCTGTTTATGTGATGTAATGTACTTATTGATGTATGTACATTGAACCATTCTTGAATCATTATGATGAAAATACCTTGGTCAGGCTGTATGATCTTTTCATTGTGTTGGGGAGTATGTTATTCAATTTCCAGGTGTTCGTAAAACTTCTGTGGTTTCTTTTGCTTTTAATCTAATTTCAGTGTATTATGTTCTGATAACACAAATGAGATGATTTGGATTCTCTTGTATTTGTTTAAGTAGCCTTTATGAGCCAGTATGCACTTAATCATGGAGAAAGCTCCACGTACTGCTGCCAATAATGTGCGTCCTGCTGTAGTACTGTGGAGCACTGTCTAGATGACTATTAAGTCCATTTGTTCAAATGTATGTGTCAGCTCTGACGTATCTTTTTATATTTTTTTAGTTGATCTATTTGTGAGAATGGAACACTAAGTCTGCCACTATGTTTCTCTTAGTGTTTATTTTTTTCTTTTATGTCCAGTAGTGTTTGTGTGTTTGTTTAATGAAGTCAGGTGATGATAAACTGATGTTTATATATATATATATATACACACACATATGTATGTATAAAATATTTTCCATTATTAACAATACATTAATAATTTGGAAGCAAAAATAGTTGTTCTTACTTTGGTGTGGTGTATTATGATCTTCTAAAAGTGTTATTTCTATTATATAGAATTCTGACCTGGCATCCTAAACTCCATGATAAAATCTTTAATTATTTCAGACAAATAACTTCCATTACATGAGCTGTGTAGCGATGTAAGAAAATAATTAAACAACTGCAAATATAGCTTAAATGTTTCTGAATGCCACTGGATTATACTATGCTTATTTAATAATATGATATAAGTGTTCTCTAGCCTGTATCATAAAGAAAATAGCTGAGTCTTAATTTAATTAAAATTTAAGAATTTCTTTGAAATTCTTAAACATTCTTTAAAGGTTGTCTACAAACTCAGATTAAATAGACTGCTTTCTCAACAAAAATTAAAGCATAATTTGTCTAAATTTTAGAAATGCATACAAATGAAAGTGAAGTAAAACCACATCATATAAAATTGAGTGGAAGAGGAACCCATAACTACATGAAATTACTGAGACATTAAGGATGAATGATGAGCCCAAACAACATATTGAACAATACATGTTTATTCAATTTTAGTTCTCATTGCAAAGATAAACAACTAGGAATACCTTCAAGGATCAAAAATAAAAACATAGATAAGAAAAGAAGAATAATTAATTAATAATTTTACATAGTATTATTGTAGGATGTTATAATTTTGAAAAATTCAGAAATTTGAGTACACATTTAAATGATTGAATTGAATTAATTGTCTTGAGTTCATAAAACTTCAACATATTTGTAATTTTAAAAATAGAGATACTGCAATTAACTTTACACACTCAAAAATAATGATATAATTTTATTAAAACTAACTTAATTTCAACAAATAAATAATTCATATAATCATATGTTGGGATTAAAGAATCCATATAATAGTTTTTAAAAAATTTATATACAATGTTTACCTGGAAAATGAAACAATGCATGATAAAATAACCTTAAAACAGCAAAGAGAAATTTAAAGTTGCAATTAGAGATTGAATAGACTGAATATTTCTTAAAAAGTTTTTATTTCTTTACTTGACCTAAGATTACAGAAGGTCACATATTCTACATTCATCATGTATCCTTTCTTTTTGCAACTTTCAATATTAAAAATGTAAAACAAATGAGGCACACTGTTCATTAATTTATCACAATCACAAATCAGCAGACAGGCAGAGGCAGGGGCTGAAGCTTCTTGCCCTGTCTCAGAAAGCTGAGGTTTGACATGGGGAGCAGGTACACACCTAACACACGCTACTGCACGCAGGTTTTTAACTCGGTAAATTCACAGCATTTCAGGCTCAAAGCATTACACAATCAGAGTCTTGGTTTTTCCCTTATATTGAGAACATGTTCATCTGGCATATTTATAACAAAGAGATTATTAGATATTAAAGTTTTAAGTGGCTACAGAAATCAGCAACAATTACACAGGATATGAAAGAAATTATATTGAACAATATAGCTTTTTTTTCAAGCTTCTCAAAAGTAATGACTTTTATTTACAATTGCATGTATCAAGATTACAATAGAAACACTAGTGATACCACCTGAACAAAAGCAATGATTTATTGGTTATGGCAATGAATGCAACATTGACAGTCTCTGGAGAGAATCAAGCAATTATCCAGGAGCTGCAAATGTGATTGGAATAGGTCTTCCAGGGTCGTTTGTACTTTAACGGCTTTCTCCTTTTTTGCCAACTACCCTCTCATGGTGAACTTGACTACAGCGAGTCTGGAGCCCGCGCTGCTCAGCTCCCGCTGGAAATCCGGGTCGCTCCCGACAGGCTTCACACCCACCATCCTCAAACAGAGCCCGGTCGGGCGGCCGTGACGCCTCCGGCTTCTGAAGCGAAGGGGAAAACCGGTGAGAAAGGGGAGAAGCTCGGGAAGACCGGGGCTTGGACAGAGGAGCTGGCGACAGCCACGTCTACTCTGGGGCTCTCAGTGCTGAGTCACGCCAGGGCGCCCAGCAGCCGAGGGGGCGGGGACTGAACAATACCGCTGTGAATAACCATTTATTAAAGAGGACATGTATAAAACTGTCAAAATTGTTACTGCATTTTTCTTTTCTTTAATAATTTTCATTATTTGCCAAATTGTTCTAACTTTAACATAGATCACTTTCTTAAGATCTAATTCTACTTCAATATTTTACTTTATTATGAATGCAAAATGGGGAATTGCTGGCTTCATTTTTTTTTTCTGTTAGCTTTTTGTACATTAGCCAATTCAATTTACCCAAAGAAATTTGCAAAACATTGAGGGATAACCTTCAAAAGGGGTATGCATTAGGATATGGTAGGAATTAGTATTGGGGTACAGTGGTGAGCAGAACTGCCTTCCAAAATATGCTAGGAATTCAAGTCTTCTGATAATAATGGGCAACTTTTACTTTTATCACCCTAAAAATTTCACATCCATCTCCTGATCAGATGATAATGAAATTATATATCTAGTCCAGTTGAGGGGAATTCATCATAAACTTTTGGTAAATTAATGAGGATTATTCAGTAAAATGGTTCCAGATCTAGAATCCAAATGCTGGAATGTTGGATTGGAAAGCAATTGTTACTAACTACTCTACCCTTATTCTCTATGTTATAAGCACAATGATCCATGAAAAAATGCAGTTCTTTTTAATTACAAAATTCACTAAAATTGCAGAAAGTATGAATACTATATGATAGATTTTAAAATGGCACACACATTTCCTTCTGTTGCACATTAGTTGCCCTTAAAATCCCATGAATTTAGGCAATGGATTTAACATGTTCATGATGATTTCCAATTTCAGTATGAATTTCTAAAATAATGCTTATGGCACTGTCCAAGTTCATGCTTAGTTAAGGAAGGGCAACTTGAGCAGCACAAAGAGATGAATTGCTTTCAGAGAGAGACCCTAAAATTCCCCAAATGAAAATAGAAAGACAGTGTAAATTCTTAACTTCACTGTTATTTCAACTGTCTGTGGCCTGCTTTCTTCTGCAGGACTCTCAGGGCAGCATGCTTCACCTCTTTGTTTCTGAGACTATAAATGAGCGGGTTTAGCATGGGGATCACAATCGTGTAAAACACGGAAGCCACCTGATCCCTTCCCAAGGAGTAGGACATCTTCGGTTTTAGGTAAGTAAAGATCATAGTGCTGTAGAAGATGGTGACTCCCAGGAGATGGGAGGCACAGGTGGAGAAGGCTTTTCGTTTTCCTGCAGTGGAATTAATTTTCAGGATAGTGAAGAGGATGGACACATAGGATCCAGATATGGTGATGAGAGACAGCACTAGGGTGGACCCCGCAAAAGCAAATATTGTGATTTCGACTTCATAAGTGTCACTGCAGGACAGAACTAAAACTGGGGATGTGTCACAGAAAAAGTGCTGGATGACATTAGAGTTGCAGAAGTGCAGTCTGCTCATGCAAACCGCATTCACAGTGGAATCTATAAATCCAAACATATAGGACCCAGTTACGAGGGCACAGCACAGTTGTGTGGACATAATGACTGGATAGTGCAGCGGGTTGCAGATAGCTACATAGCGATCATAGGCCATAGAGGAGAGAAGGAAGCATTCAGTAGAACCCAAGACGGTAAAAAGGTTCATCTGTAAGAAGCAGCCCAGGAAGGAGATGCTTTTGGTGGAAGTCAGTAAGTTCTGTAAGGTTTTAGGGGTGATGACACTTGAGTAGCTGAGGTCAAGAAATGACAGGTGAGTGAGAAAAAAGTACATGGGGGTGTGAAGCTGAGGATCCAGGTGAATGATCAGTATCATCCCCGCATTCCCCAGCACCGTGATCAGGTAAATCAGGAGGAAGAGCCCGGAGAGGACCAGCTTTGCCTCTGCAGAGTCCGTCAGCCCCATGAGGATGAAATCAGTCACACTGCTGGAGTTCCTTCTATTCATGGTGTTAGGCTGCACTTAAGGTTGAATAATCAAGGTTGATACTTAGCTTAATGGACTGCAAAAAGGCTTTGTATGTCTGAATGACCTGTATATAGTTAGGCCTGTTTATACTTACTTTAGCATTTCTAGAAGTTGATACCGTTCAACTGTACTGAGCAAGAATAAAAAACTCATTGTCATATATTGATATAGGTATAAATCGACATTTGATTCTGATATAATAAGAATTTATGTCCTATGAAATTAGCATACACCTGATACATGCTTCTTTGTTTTAACACATTTAATCCATATGTGAATTTTATGCTGTAGTTACTATCATTTAGTATTTTCAGATCTTAAGAAAGGCACAGGAAGTAACTTGTTTAATCAGAGCAATTACATCTCCAGCCTGAAATTCTCCAAGGTGCTTTGACTCAGGAGGGTATGCTCACAGTGTTTATAATTTGTCTTAGCAAACATGACACAGGTCATAAAAAAGTATGATTAAAAATTTAGTGTATTATTTATTCCCATGTAGTTCCCAATGCCATTTCACATTAGTTACAAGGAAATTTCACTTTATAGGGAACTTATGTGGGCCACGTTAAGATTATAAACCACATAGACTATAGTACTGCTGAATATATCAAAGCTGAAAGGGTAAAATGACTCTTTAAATGTTAAGATGCTTTAAAGATAGACTGCTGCTCCCAATTCCTCCTCTAGATCAGGAACGTGTACCTGCTTCCTCCTGGACTCAGATGACAGACAGGAAGCAATGCTCTGTCAGAAAAATGCCATCTGCCTCTGAGAAGGTGCAGGTGTGGACCTACAGCAGGAGGTCAAGGTCGGGTTTCATTTACACCAGGGTGGAAGGCAGCCGGCACTGACCTGGACTTAGAAGCCCTCACACCCCGAGCCTGGGAGACGGAGATCAGAGGCAGTGAGAGGCTAGCGATGAGCAAATGCTTGTCTTTCAGTCAAAATAATCAAATTTTAAAAATTCAATTGAGATAAATTTTCTCCCATTTTTGGGAGCAGAAGAAAGGGACAATACTGTAACTCCAGTTACAATGTGCCTTCCTAACTTGATCTTTCAAAGTCAAATTTCTCCCAAAAAGAGATTTTCAAAATATTCACTTTTTTAAGAGACTTTGGTTGTACCATCTTTATATGTTCAATTCACAAATAGTGTACTAGTATTGATTATATGTTTTATATGTATGTATTGGCATGCTCTTCTGATAAAATTCCTGTTTCATTTTATCTAATCCAAAACTTTCCAGTTTTACAAATGACACTGTGAAAATGCTACAATATTATCCACCTAGAAATTTTAATACTTCAAATTTTTTTCGGAAATAAGATAACAAGATAAAAACCCTTTCTGCGATATTTGTTTTCCTTGGTAGATTACTTAGATGTTTTTGTACATTCTTTTTCATTAATTATATAAATTAAATCACTCTAGAAATTTTGTTTCTGTCTTGATCCAATGGATACTTTACCAGGACGTCTTGTCTGGAGAGAATCCCAGGGAGCAGCTGTGAACATAACCAGAGCAGGATCGCCTTCCATCCAGCAGGCTGATGACCCAGGCCCTCGCATATGAGCCCTCAGAATAGCACACCTTCCTCTTCCTCAGGGAGCAGTTTCCATGGAAGGTGCCTGGGCTGGGCGGGACTCCAAGGACCAAGTGCAAGCATTTAACCAGGGAAAGATTTCACCTTTTCCCTGGGAAGTCCCAGAAAGAAGGGCATAAACATGTTCTCCCATGATACTCTAAATTGTAGCTCAATTTCATTTATTTACTTTTTCAATTGACTTGCAATTATATAAATTTTCAGAGAACAATGTTTACATTCAATAGTGGTCTGTCAGGATTTTTTGTTGTTGTTGTTACTGGGATCTAACTCAGGACCTTGGGCTTGCTAGGCAGGCATTGGAACCACTGAGCTAAATCCCCAGCCTTGGGATTTTTTTTTACTAAGGTGGTGAAGATGAATTTTTCAGAAAAACATGTATTTTATGACTGACTTATCAAAGAAGGAATAATAACAATTTTCAGTGTAAAATATATTACAAGTAAAAGTATGATTCTATCAGAGGACCAGCACATTCATTAGAGAAAATAGAAAACAATGAAACTGAAATAAGATGAAAACCATTTCAGGCTTGTTATCATTTTATTTATGATAGTAATTTCTCCTGATTAGTTCCCAGTGTGCCCACAAAGCTTATTTCGATGGGTGCTGATAGATTTACATAATGTCACCACACAAAAGGCCCCTTTCCTGTGAATCCTCCATATGAACTGTCAGAAGAGAAAAGCACCTCAGGTGGAAGCGGGTTCCTAGGCGCACAGGCAGGTGGAGGAGGGGGAGAAAGTAGTCCAGGAGTCATCTGGGGTGGTGGAAACGTTTGGGAACATTTGGGTATAGAATCTTAAACAGTGAATTATTTTTGAGAGATTTTCAAAAATCGTGCAGCCTATAAATACCTAAGTATTCAGAAAGATGTGAAAACTGGACTCTGAATTGCTGCTGTTTCCACATCTGCTTAGTCCATAGAACCAGACAGACGTGGTGGCTGCTCAGCATTGTGGGTGTAATTCTTGCCTTCAAACGAGTGCCATGAATTTGCTCTGTGTTTATTTATTGATTATTTACCAGAGACAGGGTCTCGCTCCCTATCCCAGGCTGGACATGAAATGACTGTGGAGCCCAAGTTGGGAGGAACCTTACTGACATCTGTTTGGGTGCACTTTGTGGTCTCTGGCTACTCTTGTTCTCTAACTGATTAATGAAGGAAACTCGAGGGAAAATGAGGTTACAAAATAAAAATTTTAAATCATGAGTTACAAGGGAAGCAAAGGCGGGGAAAGCAGGCAGCTCAGCCCTCCTCCAGAGCCCTACCTCAGGGTGGAAATGCAGCCCCCTGAGCCCTTTCTCTGTCTTCCTTCTAGGACCCCCACAGGGAGGCTGGGGCCAGCGGTGAGGACTGAGCAGCGCAGCTCAGAAGACAGCAGCCAAACCC